TAAGAATAAATGGTAAAAAACTAACCCAAAAAGTAATTGCCAAAATCACTGGTCATTGCGAAAGAACTATTAGGTATTGGAAATACTATTTAAAAAATCCCACTAGCAAACCACCAAACCAAAAACGAGGACGGAGGCGGATAATGGATGAAGACACTTTGGCACTCCTATATTTAGATTTCCTTCATAACAATGATAAATTTCAAAGAGAAAGAGCCGAACTTATTCTTAAGGAAAAGAAAATAGAAGTTAGCCAACAAGTTATCTCTTATAATTTAAAAAAAGACATCGGCTTTACTCGGAAAAAAGGCACTAAACGATATTCGGGATTAAACATGGAAGAGGTTAGACAATTTCTTAAAGAAAACGCTTGACTTTATTCTCACCCTAATTGTCTGGCGATAGATGAATTCAATACTCATTTAGGCGAGGCTCCTCGATATGCTTGGTCGCGAAGAGATTGCCCTGCCGAGATTATCCAGCCAGGGCAAAATTTTCAAGTTATACTGTTATTATTTGTGTTAGAAATATAAATAAAAAAGCAACAATTAGTTATAGAATAATTAAGAGGAATAGAAAAGAGAAAGGCAAGAAAAATAAAATCAAAAAAGGAACCGATGCTATAGATTTTTATAATTTTCTAAAAGACATTGAGTTGCCCGATAATGAAATGTATCATGCTCTTTTGGACAATTCTAAAATCCATTCTGCTCCTGACAAGTTGAAAAAAGCGGGTCTGTTAAGTATGGAAGAATTAGCATTGCAAAAGAACATAATACTTGTATACTTACCTCGTTATGCTCCTCAATTGAACCCAGCCGAGTTATGTATTAACTTTATTAGAAATCGCATTGAAAGCAATAAACCCCAAACCGAGGAAGAACTAAAAAAGGTTGTAGAAGAAGCAGTAGATCTTCTTAATAAACTAGATTTGACCAAAAGTTTTCAACATTGTCGAGATTATTTTTTTGTTTTGTTAAAAAACGGAAAATAATTTTTTGTAGCGTAATATTATCTTGCTGATAAGCCAAAATTTTCTCACAAAGTTTATATTTGGCTTTTTCTAATGGGTGGCATTAACTGAGAGAGTTCGGGAAATATCTGGTCCATCATAATCAGGTTTTTCGATTTCTTGGAGATACTTCTTGAAGTCCTCGGTTTGGTTGTTTTTATTTGGTTTCATAATTTTACTTATTAACTTTATTAAACTTTTTTTATAATTTTTTCACCCACTTGGACTATTTTAGTATTCTCAACCCAGGACCCATCGTTGTTGAAAGAGTTATATTTTTTAGAAAATCACCTTTCCAACCGACTGGTTTTAACTCTATCATCTTGTTATATATTATTTTGTAATTTTCTTCCAATTGCTCTGGGCTAAAATCACTGCTACCAATTATTACATGAACATTGCCGCCCTTATCAGTTTTGATTTCTCCTTCCCCCTTTTTAAACTTTTCCACTTCTTCTAATATATTTTCAGTTAATGAACCATTTTTTTTGGTGGGATAAATTCCCTTGGGACCTAATAATTTTTGCAAGGGTTTAATCACTTCTTCACCAGCAGGATGGACTAATAATTTCTCAAAACCTCATTGCGATTTCTTTTTAATTTTTCCTTTTTCTATCGTCCTTTGGCGAAGTTCTTCAATAGTTAATAATTCAATCTCTTTACTTTTTTGACAACTTTCTTGAATATTTTCTGGCAATCCTTCCTTTATTACTGCTACTTTTCTTTCTTTTTCTACCACATGAGGCAAAATCAATTTAGTTTTCAGGACGTTTTTTTGATTAACTCAGTGGAGGGAAAAACTGGCTTCAATATTTTTTAATTTCTCCGGATTGTTATTTTTTAAAAAATCTATGGCTTCGGATGAATTATAGTGTTTATTAGTAACTTTTTCTTTAATTTCGCGATAACGACGGGAATGCTTCATTATATATTAATTTACTTTAAAATTACCGAAACTTCGCACCGTGCCGGCCACAATTTTTTTGGCTTTTTCGATATCATCAGTATTCAAACTCGGCATTATTTCTCGGGCGATTTTCTCTAACTCGGCTTCGGAAATCTCTGTTCTTTCTTTTTCTCGGGATTTTTTTCGTTCTTC